TTAGTTCTTCAAAATTATCGTCAAAGTCAAAGGTAATACATAGGTTAATAACCTAGTATCACCGGACTGAGTTTTAAACAAACTAAAAACATAATTGTTATGAGATATTTCGTTAAAGGAAATTTTAGTATACTCAGTTATTTACCTTATTTATCAATAGAGATTATTACAAACTGTTTCATGCAAATCCATTATACCTTCATCAGAATTTCGCTGTATATGGAGTAATGTTTTATACTAGATAGATTTTATTCATGTTTAAATATATTAAATTACTATAAGCATAGAGGTTGTGGAGATTATTAATTTTTTTGATTGAGATCATGAACCGATTGATGTTAGACCACCATTGAAAACCCGGAAGCACTGGACGGCCGTTTCATTTTATCGTTGGACTCCTCAGCAGTGCGCATTCACGATCCCGCTCACGGGTTAAGAGATGGCGCGCGAGACTGAAGGCCCTGGTTTCGAATCCCGTGGGCGGGATCGTGGATACGCGCCGCTGAGGAGTCCCACAACAGGAAGAAACGGCCGTCCAGTGCTTCCAGGTTTTCAATGGTAGTCTAACATCAATCGGTTTATGATCTCAATCAAAAAACAAACTACTATAAACAGTGTTGTACATTAATATAAACTCATATGGTAAGAAAAAGCCTCCACTATTTAATAACATATTAAAAATCATTATATTTAAGGTATTAACTAGAAAAATGTCCAACAGTATGAAATGATTTCATCTAGTTGATTTTTTGGATTGACTAACATCTTTAAACCCTATTGTTTCCGATTACTTTCTGGTTAGCGTTTTTTTAGCGAGTTAGTTTTCTACGGGATGGGGTCGCTGACCCCATGCCCAACCCTCCTCCTTTATCCGGGCTTGGGACCGGCAGTAGCCCCCCGAAAGAGACTCCAGGCGGACTCTATTTATTTGGTGGTTAAGATTCAAATAATGTACAATGACTTCAGGTTGAACGTTTGACAGCAATGTTATGTTATTGTTCTTCCTTTCATCTTTATTTTCCACAAAAAGTTACTAGCTAACTATCAACATAGTCAAATTAAATTAAACTGTTATTTAAACTAGCATTTTATGCATTACTTCCCTGATTATACTGCAACTTTGACTAAATTAACTTTTAATACATTTTGTATTGGTTGTTTAAATTTCCCCATTGATGTATGGGACTTTAATTGATCAATCTCTTATTCGCAAATGTGCATCTTATGCGGATTGCCTTGATACTACCTTAAATCACAAGCATTATAATTAGAGATGGATGATGGCTAGCAATGGAATCCAGGGCTCTGGCATCCTTCTGATGAGTCTCCAATAGGACAAAATGTGCTTCCTGGATTCCACTGCTAGCCACCATCCATCTATGCTTCTAACTTTTAATAGTTTCGTGAGTGCTATAACTAGTTTGCTGAGATAAGAATCTGTAATCTACAATAAAAGCAAGATTTTGGAAAGCATTGGCATATTTTATTAATATTCTCCATTAGTCAATATCTAATTAATGCGCCTTTTCCACTTCTTTCCTAACCTTCATTTTTTTTGGCTGAAAATTTGATATAAACAAGGTAATTGAAAGCAGATATGTGATTATATTGATTGAATGTTAATCTTTTACTCAAATGATGAATATCAATGTGCTTGTTGAAATTCTAATCTGAAAAATGTTTCAACCTAAACAGCTATAAAGAAAACTCCTATAAAATTTATCAAACTTTTTTATGGTACTTATTTTAAGTTGTTTGATGATGTAATATAACTCATAAAAAGATACCGTTTGGGTATATGAAGATCAAATGTTTCGTTTGATCAATTAAATTTTATCTAACAATTTTTTAAATAAGTCATCTGATGATTCTGTTTGTTCAGATCAACTTCACCTTCTCATTGTTCTATCGAAATTTATAAAAGGGACTAATTGCTTTAGATTCTGTTTGTATTCTTGAATATTTATAAATCTGTTTTCGATTCACATATCATTCATTTGACGTAGAATACTCTAAGAATAGTGTACAAACTCAGTTTCACACAGAAGTATATATATATATATCCCTAAATGTAGTAGAGAGCATTTTAATGTAATATATCAGATGGCAATCTAAATGACCAAATTTTTAAGCTACTTATGTTTCATGATATTGCATAAACGTTATCCAAAACCCTTTGTACCTATGATTTCATTGACTGAAATTACAAAATCATATTCTAATACAATGATCAAATGACAACATATTCATCAGATGACTTAAAGCTTTATATTTCGCTTTTTTATGAGGTTAAATGGTGCAAGCTGATTTAGAGAATAAGAAGAGATTCTTTGCTTTTGTTTAACTATCAACAGTTCTAAAAGTTTTTACTAAATCACCATTGAATAAATATTATCTTTTGAATTTATAATTTAAAAAACCAGTACAATGGATATTAGCAAATATTTAGTTTCAACATTATGAAATCCCCAGTTATAATAAAGTAGGAAAGCAAGGACTAGTTAGTGATTCATGTGATTATCTTTTTGTACATGTTTTACATTTTCTGCACTGAACATTTCCACTCTTACCCAATCTTTTTTATAAATCACTACGTTCATTCATCATAATTATGATAACTATTTTTGATGGAGTACTGTTCTCTGAGCTGGATGGTTTCGTCGTGGAGCTTTCATCGTTCTTCTGAACGACATCATCAGCACAAACTTCAGATCCATCTCAGAGAACAACACTCCATCAAAATCATCCACCTGAGCTACAAATCTTCTCGATTATCTTAAGTATGAAAACATTTTATAAAATATATTTTTAGAATAATTAACAAGCAGCTAAACTTATAATGACCTTAATGACAACACTTTCAGTTCTGTTACACAATTTAAAAATTAATTAGGGATTGAGAGCTCTAAAGATATTGTAAAATAAGTTTCCGAAAGAAATTAAATACTTTTTATCGATTCGTTGAATAATTTATTTCACGTTTGACTATATATTCACTCAAATGTCTAAACAATTTCAAATATACCATTGAATTATATAATGTATTAAGCATATCAATAACTAGTCTGGTTAACAACCTTAAAATCTTAGTAGTTTACTTTAGTTTTTCGTAATCACCTATCACCAAATTTCCTTATTCATAACAGATATAACGCATTGTTATTACTTTAGTTAATTTACTGAATTACTGGATAACTAGATGTATTATCATCGATTAAACGTGTCTCTCACAGTTGATAATTATATATTATTACTTATTTCAACTTTCCAAATAACCTTATTCTCAGTCTTCTCTGTATAACTAAAAAGATGTTCAATAATATATGATTTCAAGATAATATTTCAACATTTAGAAGTATGGTCTAAGAACGATTTGTAAAGAAATAAATTTAATAGTTGAATTCATGAGTCAATTAAAACTAGATCACCATGGTAAACCTGGAAGCACTGAACGGCCGTTTCATCTTACTATGGGACTCGTCAGCAGTGCGCATCCACGACCCCACCTCCCAAGATTCGAACCCAGGTCCTATTGGCCTCGCGCTCGAACGTTTAATCTGTAGACTACTGAGCCGGCATTCGATGGTGTTAATGTTCATCATAACTCAATCAACGAAATTAAGCCACGATCCACCATTGTCTTTACTGAGTTACTATCTCATAACAGAAAGGGGTTTTGTTAACAAAACCCTGTCTGATTACAATCATCACACGCCCACTAGTGACGGTCTCCAAGATGTTTTTCCTGTAGTTCTTGTGTAGTTCAACGGGGTCTATTGTGCGGTAGTAATGTAGCAAGCCCATTCCATTAATGTATTATTTGTCTACACAACTGTGTTAATTTCCATATGAGTATGATTGAGCGTGTGTCTGCACTTCAATCCCTATTCTATTCCCCATTGGTTGTGACACATAGATAATCAATAATTTATCTACACTTGATTGATACTCAAAAATATATATGAATCTTTTAACACAGACACACACTTTGATTTTTGTCTCACTCGGTGCTTGCTTGCTGTATGCTTGCGGACTTTACCAAGCTTTCACAATAAACTATCTCTATAACTGATTTTTGGGCTTTTTAATGATCTCGAGTAAATCGATAATTCTACTAGGAGATTAAGCCTGTATTAAATACTCGGTTAATGAGATATCTTTATTTGGAGTCGAATATAGAGGAAATTTATCTCAACAAACTTGGTTAACCTCTACAGTAACTCACTGAGGACAATGGTGAATGTGTTGTTCGATTTCGTGGACTGGTTGAAGATAAACATTAACACCATCGGATACCGGCTCAGTAGTCTACAGATTAAACGTTCGAGCTCGAGACCAATAGGTCCTGGGTTCGAATCTTAGGAGGTGGGGTCGTGGATGCGCACTGCTGAGGAGTCCCATAGTAAGATGAAACGGCCGTTCAGTGCTTCCAGGTTTACCATGGTGATCTAGCTTAAATTGACTCATGAATTCAGCTATTAATTCTCTATTATGTGCACAAACCCCTTCCTGAAAGAAAGAAATTTATTTTTTAGCTAAGATGTTCCTTGTTTTTTCGTTTTGTTTTGCAGTATTTTCAGTTTTCAAAACTTGTTTTTATTCATTTATGAGTACATGTACAAGATGTTTTTTTCTTAAATGAAAAAAAAGTGTTATCTATGCAATTAAATTCAAATATATGAAATATCCTGTTTAGTTAGCATATGTCAGTTATATTGACCCGAATAATTAAAGGTGATAATACTTGGATTTAGTTTCTTTGGGGGGGGACTGTTATTCATATTTTAAAACTCTTCCATCTTTTTTTGTATAATAAATAATGGAAAATTAACCAGAAGTTCTTATAAGAAGTCATAATAGATGAAGTTCAACTATATCAGATAAATTACAGTTACTAATAAATGACATTGGAAGAAGTTTGTGCAATATTACTTATTCAATACATCCAGATGTGATCATTTGTTCTACTGTTTTATTTATTTTAACTTTTCTATGTTTAGTCACAACCTAGAAGAGTAACTTCAAGATCAAACAGTCGAGTTCGTAGTTCATTGAAAGTACGCAATAAAAGTTTAGATAAAAATGAATATAATCAGAATGATAGCATTAATCATCATATTCATCTTGATGATCATAAAAGAAGACTGAATAGTTCAAATAATCGAAGAATACAGAGAAGCCAATCTCCAGTTGAAAATAGGATAAATACTATTAGAGATTCAAATTACAATAGATCGATTCATTCACCAATTAGTTATTTTTTGGATTTCAATGATAAACCAGATTATAATCAACATTGTACAAATCTTCATTCAGAATATTGTCCTGTACGTTATACAATTTTTTGTTGTTATTGAAAGTTGACATCTGTTTTGAATCTAAAATTAATTAATAAAATGTAGTACAGTCACAATATTGTAGAGTAAATAAACTAATGGGACATAATTTTAGTCGAACAGCTTATATTTAGTGAAAAATGTTGTATTAACCATTCCTTAATGTTTGCCGGGCTCTTTCGATCATGCTATAATGTACTTATTAGTTTAATTAATATTAAATAGTTGAAGTTAGTCATCAGAAAGTCTAAAACCGAAGTTTGATGATGGATCGGTTTCATCAGTGATGCTTTTCTTCAAAATCAAGGGAGTATTCTATATATGGAATAGAACACCTAAATTCTAATATCTGTTATTGTCACTCCGTATGACATTCCATGTCCACCTTCACAAACTCTTACAATTCACGTGTTGTCATTTGGCTGAAGTTATTTTTGTTTCCCTGTGTAACAACCAACAGTACGCATTGTTTCTATTTGTAAATTATAAATGACAATCTGGCTACTAATTACATTCCAGTTATTCTTTACCTCTGATATTAAAATTTAAATTGATTTATCATGTTATCATATCATAACTTCATTATACAGAATAAATTACCTTTTTTGACATCATTTGTTGAATTATTGTCATTATAGTATGGAATTACTTCATTTACATACACTAACCGGGATAATCGTATATTAATATATATCGATGGACTCAATGAGATAGAATTTTCTAATATTACTTGAAAATGACGTCTAGGATGTGCCTTTTATTTTACTTAAAACAAGTCATATGGATGATAATACATTATGTTGAAACTTGCTGTTATTGAGAACTTGATTTTCATTTCACAATTAATGTTTGCCTCACCAAAGAAACTCGGTAAATAGTTTTGCAAAATGTGATTCTCCGTGTAAACTTAAGAATTCCAAGAAAAACTCAAAGACATCAGTTCACTGCACTTCATTTATAAAAAAAACACAACACATCTAGTAGCTAACCAACTTCCACCATTTTCAATTGTCGTAACTCAATCATCGGTAATATTTATCCACACGGAATCACAAGTTGGTTTTATGGAATCCACACCATTGTAACTATATTCAATTATATATGTACATATATATGTTCTTGCAGCTAATTTATTACTTCAGAACTTTGAATTTCCAACATCAGTAATTTCGAATTCAGTTTTAGAATTTTATTCCGACCAATTACATGATAAATTGAAATCCCTGCATAGTTTTTGAGTATATCCAAGGATAATATCTTCGTGGAAATAACTTATAATAGTTAATTCATTCTCCTATTAAGCGATCATTTTCTAAACTTATGATATGCTTTCGATAATTTCTTCTTTTTTACTGGTCTTTAGATAATGTTACTTCATAAACTGTTGTTATTAGTTCTAGACAAAATTGTTTACTTGAAATATGTTATTGTCCATGGCGTCAAAGTGTGAGGGAGGCCCATGGGTGAACTTGAGGAAGCTCTAAGAAGCTCAGAAGGAGCCGAAGATATCCCATCGGACCATCTTTTGGAAGAACATTCCAGAATCTCAAAGTGCAGCTTCCCTATTGAACAAATGCTAATAACCCCCGTATGTGGATTGGAGGACTATAATGATGATTTCGTTTTCACTGAAAACTATAAATACTTAACAGTTTTGTACTATAAGTGACACTGTTTGGTAAAGCATTCCTTTCATTTGCCTTATGTCTTCTCATTTGCGATTTGGTGGATTCTAGCGTTATACGCTGTTTATTAAGAATCTAAGTTCTAGATATAACACAAAGTACTTACATTATTCTTGTATAACAACAAGAAGTAAATAATTTTCTTTGCTAATTCCTTAATAGTTTTGTTGTAATTAAATATATATTAATTACAGATAAATAAACAAAATGAGGATTCACCTACATATATTAATTCTGAGTATGCAGATAATCTACCTAAACCATTTCACTCAACAGAGTTGCAAACTGAAAACCATTCAAATGAAAATGGACTACACAGCAAGAGTATTAAGTAAGTACATAAAAGTTGTTCGTTGTAATCTTTTTCGGCTATAATTTTCAACAATGAAATGAATCACTAATATTGAAGGTTTGCAAATAGTTTTGAACATGTATGGTTGTACACACAATGAATACAATATTGCACAGATGTTTCCTCTTCATGCTGAGTTTCACAACGAAGTCTAATTCCTTCTAGGTTTACAGTGGTTGTCAAGTTAAAGTCAGTTACTAATGTAAACTATTAAATAGTTTATTGCCTTCAAGTAAACGTTTTTCAAGATTGTATCTTACAGTCATGTGTTTAGTTATTAGTACTCTTTCAGATGTACTACTTAAATAAAATATTAGCAAATTATTGTAAATAAGTCTCTGTTGTGTTATATGGTCAATTATGAAGGATAATCAAGTTTGAATTTGAATCATTATCTATCTAAAACTTCTTAAAGTAGTCTTTGAAATTTATATAATCGACCTATACTATAAATGAGTAGTTATTGTTTCACTCCAAAACTTCCCGAATTGAATTTTGTTATATAGTGAGAAACTATCTTGCATTTTTATCGAATGCTTTTATTAATAGTTATTCGCTCATTGCTAACTGATCGATTCGTTTTTTGTTTGGTGACTTAAAGTGGCCATTTAATAATGCTTAAATCATCACTAATGTCAATATGCAAACGTAAATCAGAATAATCTGTTTCAGAATATGTTATGGGTTACAGAGGCCGATTAAAATAGTCTAAAATGTAGTGCTTATCATTAATAGATTCTGAAAAAAAACACTGGATTAATATTATAACGTATCACTGGTGACTATGAAAAGCTGATTTCTAAAGATAGTTTTTTTCCAACGGATTAACATATAGTATTGTAAATAGTAGGACTATTTTAAATACATTGATGTCCGTGTACATCTTTTAATTCGTAAATTCTTAAAGTAGTATGTTAACACATGCATATTATTATTATTTGAACACATAGATATTGGTACAAGGAGGCACCAAATACATATGAGCCACACAAATCTCATTTGGTTTGTGTGAGGGCTGTGATACTGTCCGGGTGCCCAAACTGAAGCAAGTGGTTTACTTAGGAGACCACACTCCGAGCCTTTGACCTAAAGTGTTGGGGATGATAGATCCCCAAAAACTCATAGTTTGTAATTTTATCTTGTGGAGCTTGTATGCAGATGTAAACGTAGGCATTTCTTACCACCCACGTACATAGTTGATTGACGAACTATCGATTAAATGTTAAAAAGCTCTATGGAAATATATATATATATATATATATATATATATATATATATATATATATATATATGTTTTAAAATTGTCTTGTATAAAGGTTTGCCGGTTTTACTGGTTGTTGCAGAATATACTCTCATTTCAAGCCTGGTCTTTACTCTCTAGATAGCGGGGCTGGGACGCGTCATTAGCTAGCTCACTGGTCGTTGGTCATCGAACCTCGTTCTCGTTCGCAATTTAAGTGAACTCGTTAAGCTTCAACCTAAAACAAACGTCTGATCCACAAGGCAGGGGAGAATCGTAAGGCGATGCATTTCCATGGTAGCCGGTGACCAACGGTTGGTTCGTACGCCATTTGTTCCCTCAGGATACTGGAGCCTATGTGCACCATTAATTTCGAGTCAGGGTTTTCCGACCCCCCTAGGTGGACTTTCCATCTCCACAAACCCGGTAAGATCGCCGGACATTCGCTCTTCGTCCTCCCGACTTCATAAACAACACTCTTATCGATAGATGGCAGTGAGTAGGACTTCTCTGGCAGAGGCTATATACGCGTGGCCATGTGAGAGCATTTCTAGAGTGTGAGCGGACTCTCCCCACTCTCGGCCGTACCAGGGCATTTGAGGGCGTGTTAACACCTGACCGTTTCTTGACAAAAACCTGCTTTTTTAGTGTGGAAAGTAACAAGAACGAAGAACACTACTTTATCTTGAATTTATTTCTAATCATATCGCAATGTACATCAAGGTACTTCAAAACATTTAAACATGAAATTAGGCGTTGTTGATTCATGATCATTTATTCCAATCCACTATTTTAATTATCTCATCTTTGATCACATAAAAGTAAATTCTACTTTTTAATACTCTGAATAATTTATTATAATTTGAGTACTGCAATTGATTGATGCAAACAAATTATGACTTTTAAAAGAAACTAATATTACTATTCATTAGATTGTTAACAAACTCACTGTGTAACTGTATTTCGCAAATATATTCCCTTATTCGGTTGTGCACAGACCAAATTGTAACAACTTCACCAAGCTGTAAGTTAATCTGAAAGGAATACAGAAAAAGCAGCATCTGTTATGGCTTACATAGACGATAAAGACGATGCATATCCTGACACTACCATATAACCTTTATCAGTATCTTGAATGGATCCAAGCTCTGACAAAAGACACATAAGTGCATGTTCAAAGAATAGAGCTGGTCGCTGTTTTGTTAGAAATGATTTTGCTCTTTCATATTGCTGAATTTTTCAACTTTTATTTTTTCTTTCCAATTCGTCTACTTTGTCCTATCAGTTTCCCTGAAATCTTATAAAATATAAATAGAACTCGCTAGTTGCTTGCTTTGGTTAAGTTTGTTTAATCTCGTTGAAATTTCTTTAGAGGAATTTTTTCCTGCGTTATCCAAGAACAGATGAACAGATGAATGGATCAGCCTGATCGAATTCACCGGACATCGAAGTAGCACACGCAAACCTTCCTATGGATGTCAATCCACCAACGATCGAAGAAATCAGAATGGCCGGTCATCAGACAAATCAAGTGTGGGAAAACAACAGGACCTGGCAATATATCAGCTGAAGCACTGAAGTCAGACATCAAAGTAACTACAAGCTGGCTTCATGTTGTATTCAAGAAGATTTGGGAGGAGGAACAAGTGCTGGAAGGTGTTGAATCTTTCATGTCTTTGGGGAGGATTATTGATGAACATGAAGCATCGGATGCAGATGTAAAGATGAGGATTTGCAAAGCAAGGGCGGCATTCCTATAACTGAAGAACATATGCGACTCAAAACAACTGTCTGCAAGCCAACATCAAGGTCAGAATCTTCAATACGAACGTCAAGACAGTTCTATAGTATGGGGCTGAAACTCAGAGAACTACAATAACCATCATGAAGAAGGTACAAGTAATTATAAATAGCTGTTTACGCAAGGTACTGAATATCCTTTGGTTGGAAATGGATAGGACATACATTACGTAAACCATCAAACTGCATCACGAGGCAAGCCTTGACTTGGAATCCTGAAGGGAAGCGAAAAAGAGCAATGCCAAAGAACATATTATGTTGGGAAACAATAGCAGATATGAAAAGAATGAATAACAACTGGAAAGAGCTGGAAATTATTGCCCAGGACAGGGTTGGATGGAGAGTGCCCATGCTCCTCCACGAGGATTAACAGGCGTAAGTAAGTAAGTATATTCCTTTCATATTGATTTTTCTAAAAGATATACAATTACTTGACGAACTTTGATAAAATGTAATTATAGATAGATTTCATGTACTTTTCTCTTAAAATCTATATTTTTAGTTCACGTCGAAATAATCTACGTACTATTCATCCGAATTCTTCATTTCATAGAAATTCAGACTTATATTCTGGATCATTGGATAGATTAAGGAGACGATGTCATTCAATTGAAAGGGAACTAGGTTCAATTGAAAGGTATATTTATGAAAATGAATTCCACAGTTGTTGTTTTTAAATAGATAGTTAACAGTCAATATTTAAATTAATTAATTATATGATTAGTTAACCTATAAGAAAGCATTTTCAGTAACATATGGGTATTAGTTTACTTTATGTGTGGAAAAATCAAGTCTAGTTATTATAATTAAGCTAACAGGATCAGATCACTTATCATTGAATACATTTTAACGTTACTGCTATGACACATTGGCGAATTCTGTCAGGTGTTTAACGGAAAAAAATAGTGACATTTTCATTTACTCAGAAATGTGATCTGTAAATCCTGATAAATAAACTTCGAAAAATATTACTGTCAGTGGTATGATCGAGTGTGAGTTAGTTATCCTTTTAAAGAATGGGAAGACAATTGCCCAAAATCACGATTTAATTGAAAATAAATACAAGGATACATTTAGGTCCTGGTCTGGATAACGCTTGTCCAATGCCTCCTTGTTTTCAATGATTTCCCAACAAGGATCAATCACTTATGTAAACATAATTATTCATCTTATTTATGTTAATGTTTTTTATCCTATCTCTATGTACTTTTGATTAGTATATATAGGAAGTTTATTAATTGATAACAAGTGATTACTATCCTTGATAATTCTATTTTAATGCTATTTGGGTGTTGTACTTTCTTCGACTATACGTGTCACATTTTCTTGATGAAAATATATTTAGTCTATCGTAACAAAATAATCTATTTCCACTAATTACTTACTTTTAATCTTTATGTTTTGTTTAATTTTTAGAGATAAATTAGAACAAGGTTTGAGTAATCCGATATCAGGTGATCCAAGAGTTGATGCTCTAACATCGGCCAATAGAATATTACGTCAAAGATTACATGATATACAAAAGTTACAAGAAAATAGAGAACATGCTTTGAATAAAGCTCATGAAATGGTTAATGGTTTGTTAAATAAGGTAGGTGAAAATAATGTTAAGAAATATATCTATGACAATATCGATCAGTTTAAAATTTTACCAACTAGGACCAAAGTATTGAATCCTAGATTAAAGCTTAAAATGGTAAATTTAATACCAATTATTATTCGACCAATCAGTTATCTTTAAAAAGTTTCTGAAACACTTAGACTAGAAAAGAAGAAGACTATTTAAAATTACTGAACAGTAATAATAGAATACAAATTCGTCCATCAATAATCACTTGTTTCCTTGTTCAAGTAAACTCTCTGATGAATCATAAAACTAATGATGAACTACCATAAGTTAACTTACGGTATACAGAAACGTAAACTAATCAGGATATTAGCACATTTGCTTCAGATTATAGTTACCCAAACCCATCAATACTAATAATTAGTTTATACGAAGAAACGCCCAGAGACCATTCAGAATCATTTACAAAAGTATTTATATCCTTCTAAAGTATTCAGAATGAAACTTATCTTTACAAAGCTAGTTTACCCTAGTAAAGATTCCTTGATTCAAAAGTGCTAGAATAACTCTTTCTAAAAGATCTTTATATAATTTATTTTGAATTGTTTATTTTATTCTGAATACAATTTTACATAGCAACAAAAGCAAGCCTCAATAATTCGTGAAAGTACACGAAACTTTGCACAAACACCGTCAACTTTATTAACAAATAATCACGATATTGATAAAGATTTTAATAGAAAAAGTTACATCACAAATTTATACAAACCAGTGATTAAAGATGATTCATTTAATTTGCCTACTTATACACCAACTAAATATGGACATTACCATAATCAACATCATCTTCAGTGTCATCATGACGCCAATTATATCACTGATCATTATGACCGAAATTATAATCAGCATTCACCGTATAATTATTGTTCAAATCAACGGAAACCATTTGATTCTAGAAATAATTCAACAAATTTGTTACTAGAAAAATTACGTTCAGATTATGCAGATTTAGCAAACAGTGTTTGTCGTATTGAAGAAAAAGCACGAGATGCTGCCTCTTCTGTACAATCATTATTAAGACAATTTCAAATGGGTCTTATGGAACCGGTTAATTTCAATTCAATGAATCAATTACTGAATAATGATTCTCATGAGGTAAAATGATTGTTTTTAAATGTTGTTATAATAAACCAATGAACTAAGGAAAAATTCAAGTAAAATAAAAGTTTATAATAGTGATTTTTTTATCATGAAATAATGTTACTTGAGGAGCCATAGAAAAACGAGGCGAACTAAATAGATGTTCAGTATTTCTCAGCGTTGCTTACAAACAAACATACATTGAATGGAATCTGGCAAATTTAGGTCTCAAAATCTGGGTGCTTATGTTCTCACTTTTAAAGAATTTGTGAAATGTCACAATTTTTATTCAATACTGTCAACAAATTAATATCACAGTATAGAACTGCTTGACTCTATTAGTTATAGCTTCTTGTTAGAATTTCAGGAAATCCATGAAAATGCTATTTATTCATGTAGATATAATTAATAAATTATTTAGATATCCTTTTGAAGTGCATTAAGAACAACTCTCAAACTGAAGTAAAATAGCTGTTTGATTTACATTCGTTCATTAGTATTCAAGTCACCAGTCAATTAATGTATATGTGAATAATTAGACATTGGACAAAAAACTTATCATCTAGAAACTGAAAACTACTTTACTTTTATAGGCAGATACAGGTGGTGGTTAACAGTGGTATCCAAGACTCGCATTTCGTCCACCATCCATCTCAACTTATAATGCTTGTGACTTAAGGCAATATCGAGACAATCCTCGCAGATTCACATATGCCAATATTGTAATGTTTAATTTGAATTTCAATTATAATTTGAATCCACCTACAATTGGTTGATTATTCAAATGTGATTTATATCTATTATTTACAATAATCATAATGTGAATAGAACACTCTAACCGTATATTTGACTTGATCATCTTCTTTTGTTACTTCTTATATACAATTCAGTATTTTTCGGCTAAGTAAAATAATCTAGGGCAAGACTGTAATTTATGGACGAACAAATCAGATATGAGATAACAGGTCTCGGATTTTGGCGCGAAACTCATTCATCCATTTGTTTAAATAGAGTTTCGGCATTATAACTGATGTCAGTTTGTAATGAAAACCCTGAATCTAATTCCTAACCTTAACCATCAACTGAAAATCACAATTCTATTTCCTCACACTGGTGTATAAACCTCATTTGGTACTTGTTATTAGGTGGAAATTCTCAAGATTACTTCGACGTCACCCAATCTAACTAGAATAATTTGTGTCTAAGTTTGAACCATTTGAGTTGTTGATATTTTCTTAAATGAATTTTAATCAGAAGGTAAATCCAATTGATAAATCCTAAATAGGACGAATTGCATATTATCAATCATAGTTTTAACCATTTACTTTAAATAAAGCCAATGACTATTCTAATGAGAAATTGATACATTTCAGAAAATCTTATTCTTAATTTTTTCCTGTTTTCTGTTATTGTTTTTTTTATTACTATAGTCATTTAATAGAGAGTCACATTCAAACGAGTTATATGATAAATCTGTTATGCTTAGATTACAAAAAGCAAGGTACGTTGAATAAGTCTAATTTATCTATTCATGTTTTGATTTGAACTTTTTCCAATTAATATTAGAAGAACTGGTGAATATAAATTGGAAAGCAATTAATCCACTTTGATAAATTTTGCTAATGTAATATTGGTAATATTGGCTTATTATCCAGAGTGACTAAGTTTCAAATTGTGTTCATATTATTATTATTATTATTATTATTATTATTATTATCATTACTATTATTACTCATATTATTATCCTTGTCTCCTCTTACCTCATTTCCAGTCTAGTTGACCTTTTATTTACATATATATATATATATAAATATATATATATATATATATATATATATATATATATATATATATATAAATTTCACTAGTTGAAATCATGAGTCAATTAAAGCTAAACCACTAAAGAAAACCTGGAAGCACTGGGCGACCGTTCCGTCCTAGTGTAGGACTCCTCAGCAGTGCGCATCCACGATCCCGCCACCCGCAAGATTAGAACTCAGGACCTATCAGTCTCGCGCGCGAGCGCTTAACCTGTAGACCACTGAGCCGGCATCCAACAGTGTTAATGTCTTACTTCAACCAATCCACGAAATTGCGCCACCGTACACCATTGTCTTCATTGAGCTGATATCTCACAACAGACCTGGTTGTTCTTAACAAGTATATGTCTGATCAGATTGTTCGAAATGTATTGAGCTAATATATCACATAGTTCTGATAATCTTCGTCTTCTTCTTATACTATCGAAATATGAATTGTGTTGTAGAAAAAAAATAATTAGTTGTCAACAGTTAAGGATAAGAAAATAAAAATGTGGGAAAAAAACTTTTCAGAAGTCAAACTGTGTTCAAATCTGATGATATTTGTAATCCGCTTTACTAAATCCTACCAAATCGCAAAGCAATATTTCATAATCTTTTAAATGTGATCTTGGTTTCTATTTCTTTGGGAAAATTTTCGTTATTATTCAAAGATACATTCTTTATGTAATCTCTTGATAAAGAGACATTATTATCTTCACCATGGACGTTTATAGAGATGTAAATTAAAGATTGCATATGACCGAACATTAAATAAAGAATATAGTAGATGTATAAGCAAAGATGGATGGTGGCTAGTAATGGAATCTAGGACTCACGTTTCGTCTTATTTGGAAATTGTCAGCTGGATGTACCTGCATCTCAGAGTTGATGTTCACTCTGGAACTCAAACCCAGTACCGTTCATTTCAAACGTCAAATCTGGAGTGCAGGTACATCCGTCTAACAAGTCCCAAATAGGACGGAACTCGCGTCCTAGATTCCAGTGTTATCCACCATCCATCTATTCTTATAATGCTTGTGACTTAAGATATTATTGAGGCAATCCAGACAAGATGCACATATGCCAACAAGAGACTGATCACTTGCAGTCCTAAACAACAATCGGAGATATAAGCAAACACTACTAAGTGAATTCAATATAATAGATTGTTATAATTTTATTTACTGCTTACTAGAGAGTTTATAAATTTTTGTCGCCCTAAAGACATTCCTAAAAGTTTAGCAGGTTTAAATTTACCCACATTAGTCAGCAATTGACCTTCACATAAAAGATATCAGTATCAATTAAAAGCACATATCATATGCTACATTAACAATCTGTTAATTTCCTTATCAAGTTACATATTTGGTCCCAGATCAAATGGGATGTGACACGATTGAGCATTAGTAGAAGTTGAAACACCTTAGAAAAGCAAAAGAACAAAGACAAAACAAGGCAATTAACAATCGAGTGGATATAGTATCATCAATGGAAGGCTAAGCATAGAAATAATTCATAAGAAACTAAATGGGGTTAAAAAAATTTAATGTACAAGAGAGCACTTAACTCTAGATTTAAGAGGAAATATCTTTTGAATTCGAATAACCCTTTATGACCGATTTTGTTCATATAACTTTTATTATTACGCATTTCATGAAACTTTATATCAACAAATAAATAGTAAAAAATCAAAGAAATTTCAGCCACTGGTAGTTTTAATAAATTAAGTAATCATAAACCTAAAAAAGAACAAGTCATTCAGTGACCTTGAGTGCTGTTAGAGGTATGAGGGCAGTTATCACTTCCTGGTTGCCCACACCGTGGAAGGGTTCTTCTAGAAGTACCTGAAAAGGAAATTGATCTTAGTGACCTGAGAGAGTGACCACAGTGCCCAAGAGACAACTACTTGAAGTCGGTCACACACTACATTTTTGTGAGTAATTTTCGTGTTAGCTCCGTAATTGTTGAGACCTTACCGCCGCAGACGGATACCCGTGGGATAAGGCGAGGTGTGCATTTTTAGGGTCGACCTTTTCTAACCCCACCTCTCCTTGTGGGAAAGCAGCATCGCTGTTATGGTGGTTGTCCGAAGGAAACACCCTACTGCTGTCACACCTCTGTACAGTCAGCAATACGACTTCGCCTTCGGACCTTGGGTTTGTTGCTTTTAGTTTTACCGTTTTTCAACCGACCTGTCTGGCACGGTAGTTTCTTGTGGAACGATTGTTCTAGCCAGTTCTTTCCACTTGCTTCCAATTGCTATTATTTCTTCTTCCAATTTCCAGAGCAATGTTCTTTGGTTTTCTTTTTTTTCCTTTTCTCTTTGAAATTCCAATTTAGCATCTATCTTGTAATACAGTTTATATAACTTAACAGTACAACTATATGTGACAATACATAACACATAATCTACATTACTATTTATCATAAGTTATTATTATTATCGTTATTATTATCAGTGGCTTTATTCAATATTATATTTTTGTTACAATATAGAATTCTCAGCACAAAGTATTTCAACAGGTTTCCCTTTCTTATTTCTTGATCAGTTCTTGCGATAAATATTGAGTGGTCGCCAGTTAGATGTCAGCGGTTCAGGAATCGACATCTAATAAATGTATATCCCTTTCGATGCATACCTCCAGTAACCATGATGTCTCTGATTGAGCTCTTTCGTAACTTGTACAGCGAAATGTCGTAAACTCTTCACAAACGCACCTGAATAGGTTATGAGACTAATAGGCATAATGATGTGTTAAAACAAATAAGAAAACAGATAACTCGTTGAAATATTCAAACGGCAGGAACAGGTAGCCCAGATATTCAAGCAAACTGTTTATAATAGTTATCATATATGAAAAAATGTGTTTCGAATTTATTGTTATAATAATATAAAAATACTGTTTAATAAATTAACTTTATATTGATCAAAATGAATTTTCTCTTTTTCAGATTCATTACCAGTATAACGTTTATATTAATGTTGTACATTTTTATTCAAATGACTCATGTATCTAGTTCAATGACCTTTGTAAACCATAATAAGTCAGAAATTAATATTTAGTGAAACAGTGATATTTCAAAACTGGCATTATAATTTAAGTCAGATATTTATGTTAATATTTAAATGAGGTTCGTTCAGAGAGATATGATTATTCGAAATATAAATATATAAGAATTATTATCAGAAGGGGTTTTGTAGCGATTTTTAGTAATTCCAGTAGTTGAAATCATGAGTCAATTGAAGCTAGACCATCATGGAAAACCTAGAAGAACTGGACGGCCGTCCCGTCCTAGTGTAGGACTTCTTAGCAGTGCACAACTTATATCCCGCCTCGCAGGATTCGAGCTCAGGACCTATCGGTCTCGCGAGCGAGCGCTTAACCACACGACCACTGTGCCGGTATCCTAAGGTGTCAATGTCTAACTTCAATTAATCCACAAAATTAAGCGACACACGCACTATTGTCTACAGTGAGTTACTATCTCACAACAGACCCGGTTGAACTCCACTAGTCATTGCTTCTCATTAGAACTCCAAGATATATGTTAAATATATATATTAAACTAGATAAAACTAGAAATCCTTTAGTCGCCCTTATTTTTATCTAAATTCAAGCGGAAATCTATCAGTTCGTTGAGGAGAAAATTCATCTGTGTATTCAATTTCTTTCAAAGTACATGATATTGGTTTTCAGTACTCCAGAAAATCGCCATATCTGAGATGTTTATTGAGAGACAATATGTTGGTGTAATTTAATGAGTAACTCACAATCTGACATTAACGGTTGACATTCTTTAGTTATATAGACTGATTAAATGTTCCATATGTAATGGATAAACTTGTAATGTGGGGACGTATTACGTATTAAAAAATGTTAAATTACTGTAGTGTTTTGTTTCAACAAATTGTCCTTATGAAAAGCACGTCCTTGGGAAGTATACATACAAAATAATGACTTAAACTTACTGTGAAGGTAGAGTTAAATAATGCTCAAGCATCTAAAAATACTAGTCAAAATGGTTCTTGAAAGTATACCTCATATGATTGACTTCTGTCACAATAATCCACTAGATCTTAATATTCCGCTAATATCTTTTGTATTACAGAGATACATTAGATCAATTGAAAGCTGATTCGTTTCGACCATCAATAAACTTTCAAAGACAAGTAGACTATACTGTACCACTAACAATATCAGTAGCACCAACGACCAATTCATTATTATCGTCCTCAATACCAGTAATGACAACAACATCTGGTACAGTTCCGCCAAAAATGAATCATTATAATCTACATGAACCAGATTTAAAACATCCTAATGTGTATAATCGTCCTTATACTAACTCATTAAGATCAACTTGGCATATTAGTTAAGGTAAGCATTTCTTTCATATATAACAAAAGTTTGTTTTATTGTATTGTATTGTATCACTGAATAAACAAAATATTATTATTTTTGTTTCGTAAAATTTTACCGTTTTGAGTTTGTACACCCATAGCTATTTTATTGACTTAAAATGTTGTAAATTTAGTTTATTACTACGAAACATATGAATAGGCTATATTCATTTCAAATGTGAAATGTTTTCATACAGTTCTTCCCACTTGTACTTTGAAATGAATCTATTTTAAGTGGTAGTGCACAAATGAGCAAACTATTACTCAATTGCTTCATCGTTTCCTATCTATAATGACTCCCGAACTTGATTTAATAGTAACACTTACAGTGATATATTAAACATTTTAGTGGTGAAACTATGATAATATTATATTGGACGGTGTCCGAAATCCGCTACCCCCCAACTGGCTAGTTGAGCGAGAAGACAAGAGTGGTTGAAAAAGTATATTGAACTACCGAATAAAATGCACACATTTATGCATATACAACTCTATAACTTAGGGAATTAATCCATTTCAAAGACAATGAAATGCATTCGTCCTTCAGGACACTTCTGACTGCCATCGGTTGAACTTCTCATTGGGCCAATTCCGATTGGTTTATCATATCATATAGTTATGTCTGTAGGAAAACTTAATTCATTAAATAACCTAATTTTGTGATTTTAAAGTTATCTTAGATGTGATAGACTTAATGTGATTGGACTCGGTGACTATACATAGGCCCTTACATGATAGATGTCTTGATATTATTTATACTTAAAGTTTGATCAGATTACGAAATCCATATTCTAAATTCAACAATTAGCCACTAGTACAAAATTGTCAACTCAAAAATATAGTCAGTAATATTCTATCGTTTCAAAATTATTATATTCTGACAGAAATTTATACATGTATATGATATGTATGTTTACTTTGTAAATTTTAAATTAAACAACTCATTCTCTTTTGATCTTTTTTCTCCTTACAACAGCTATCAACATCTTATTTTGGTCATTTCTAGTTATAAATTATAGACTGATCAATTATAAAAGTGATTAAAATTGATAAAGAATAAAAGGTAATCTAACAGACAGGAATAATCTCTAATTGACCTCAGGGATTAAAAACAGTTTCAAGAATTCTCTTTATTATTTTTGTTTGCTTTTGCTTCTATCGTGTTCTAAAATAGTAAACATATACGTATGGTATTGTTTTTTATACCGAAACGTTTTCCAGCCTAAAATCTTTCTTTCTACCGATCTGTTTTTTTGTTTTGTTTTTGATAGTCATTCACTATTTATTTACTTATACATTTTATAATAATTTGTTTAAACCAATCAATTGGATTAAACACATTGTTAAACAGATACCATTATTTGTAAAAATTGAAAGTGTTGTGAATTTCTCAACAACAATAACAACAACAAAATGCTCATAAAATGTAGAAATATACCAGTCTTATTTATTTATTATGAGATGTTTAATAACTATAATCCAGAACCTTAAATTACAACTCAATAAAATAAGGGGTTTTTTATTGTGTTGCCTTTTCTCCTCTCTAATCATATATTTTGTTCCCTAGAATGTTTCACACTTTTGTTTTGAATGTTGAAAATTATAATCATGAATGTTGAATTGTCATTATTTTGTTTGTTTTAATTTTGTTATATATATATATATATATATATATATATATATATATATATATATATATATATATATTACTTTTTGTGTTTTTCGCATCGATACATTGGTTCATTAATAATGAGTAATATAGATGTTTCTATGTAAAGTTTAATTGGATCATTATAAGATATATTATGAGATCATTTTGTTTATTTAAAATTAGATCTGTAGTATTTTATATAAAATTTGATAATCTAATTATATACTGTTTATTTTTCTTTCTTTTTTTGTTGCTTAGTTACTATGTGTTAGTATTAAATGAAAGGTTTATTATTTTGAGAAGTGTAACATTTAGTAAATAAACAAATAGATTTAAATTAATACTGTGATATTTCAGTTTGTGAAATTTAATCACTATTTGATACTTAACTGTTTTATTTTCCAATTATATCATAAATATATTTGCTTTCTTTTTTAACCGAATGTTAACTCTTTACTCATATTTTTTGAATACTATACAAACTATGAACCAAACACTCAAGTAACTAGGTGACTTTGTTCGAAATGACAACATAAAAATATGCTTTATCTTATAATGTCAGAGTAAAAATTATGGGATGTTGTATGGTTGAATAGTTGTTACTCTGAATGATTGTACTTGAGACTTTAATTGAATAACACTATGATAAGATATAAAACTATTTGTCCAGATTATGTAGGAAATATGAGAAAGCATCATTTAAGATTTCAAAAAAAGAATGACCTGATATGTTCGCTATTTGGTCACACTTTCACTTACAACATTAAGACGAGATAATCACCAATAAAAACGAAAAATGGTCATATTTACAGAGGAAAAAGAACTTCAGCGTAAATCCATCAAGGTAGTTGTACCTTTTACATCTTTAGTTTAATTAGTTTTATAATAAAACGGACCTGGATAACTTTTCGTAAATATTCGACAATTCTTTTACAAAATCACAATGAATATTAACCATGTAATTAAATTTATTATATGAAAAATATAATTTTTAAGGCTCTGATAAGGTGTATTATATTCATTTTAATGGAAATGTGAGGAAATTTAAGAAGGTTAGTGTAAGAATATGAAGAAGCAGTTATTATCTTTCTCTTGAAATTGGTTTTTCTCTGATGATTAATACTCTCCATTCAGAAAAATTTAGTTTAACCAGGTAAACGCTTCATATGATGTCCTTCAATGGTTGATTTCAGTGTAGGAAGTAATTTCCTACGAAATCGATTCCTCAGACCGTCGAACACAGTCGTAGCTTAAATTAAGCCAGAATATGTAAGCTTTTTGTCTTAATAAACTTTATCTGTTTCTAAAACGTAAATTAACACTGTTAGTATACAGAAAACAATTAATTCAGTATATCAAACAGGAAGAAACAGAAATAAATAACATACCGAACAGTACCTATATCGTTTATGACAAACATAAAAATGATGAATGGTGTATAAAAAGGCATAGTCATGCAATGTTAAAGAGAGTTAATGTGGTGGTGGGCGTATAATGTTGTTATTGGTGGGTTTGTACATCGATCATACCTTATATGCGGTTAGAGTATCAGTGAAAACCATGGAGCTCCAAATACCTATCTATGTAAGTCGTTATAGCGTTCATCTATGATTAACATACTCTTTATTGCTTTTAACAGTCGAAAATTTCATCTAATCAAATCTCAAAAAAGCACCTTCATTACAGTTTGTTTTTGGATGAATAATTTTACGAACTCTCAAACTGACTGGAACGGAATAGCTGTTTAGTACTTCATGGTTATTAATAATTATTCTCTAATTGTAATGCGAATTTCTAACGAAAACTAATTTACTATCACATATGTATCTATAGAAAATCTTTAATATTTTTGTATTATGTAATATGGCTTAAGTTTAGTATTTATTATAATAATATATAAATTGAAATAATATATAAATGTGATATAATCCGGTTATCTTACTGTCATATCAATATACAAATAAATGGTAGGTAAAAATAAATGATAGGTCGAAAAATAATTTTAAAAAATAACTAACTTATTGAGTAATTTTTTAAGCAAAAATCAATAGTTATTAGATAATAGTTGTGACTTCAATAGAATTAAGATGACTTTGATTGCAGTATTTTATCTTTATCTAATTTGTTTTTGCAAAACCTCTTTATATAATTACATGACATTTTACATGTCAATCAAAATCAATGAAATAATCTAATCGTATCTGTCGTACAATAAGAATAATAAACCATAGTGACTAGAAAAATCAGTTTATAAAAAAAATGATACGTGATTATGATCATTTCTGAACAAAAAGTAAAACTTCTCGCCCCTCCTCGTTCACACGTATGTACGTACTCACTCACTCACGCACGCACTTAAACACATTGATATACATTCAATGTATGGATCGTAAGTTTGTTAATTCAATTAATCATGTATCATATAAATGCAAAACTATATTTAAAATCACAAATGTCATTTATCAAACATGTATTCACATAATGAAATTGAAATTAAACACCCAATTCAATTGTTAAAAAACTTATCACCGGATTTTTCAATAAAACAAAAATGTAAAACATACAACAAATTTATGAGTTCAACTAATCAAAATGAATTAATTAATAGTCCGAAATGTATTAGTAATGATAGTAGCAGCAATGTCAATAATAGACAGTCATATTCACAATCTACAATCGATAAAACACAGTTTATAATGAAAGAAAATCATAGGAATACAACATTATTTCACAATACATATGATCATCATTCTATTTCTAATATATCTAATTTAGTTAAAAATAATGTAAACAACCTTTCATATACTGATATAATGTCCTATGAAAGTTATTCACAAGATCAATTAAATATTATTCCTATCAATGATCAAATTGATGTACAAATTTCATTGAATAATTTTAATAAAAAATATCATTCTTTACAAAATTTAATACCAACAACTAAACAAATTCATATAGAAAATTCAACATATTCATTATCTAAATTAAATTATTCTTCATTGACTACAATTCCATTACAAATAAATATTCATAGCTTAAAACAAATGTATCAATCTCAGTCAACATATGTTATTGTTTGTGAATATCCAGTTAATTTATCTATACGTTATATGGGTAATAATCAAATACCAAATATTAATTTTATTGAATTAAATTATTTATGGCATCATATTGGATGGGGTTATTTAATTGCTATAGCTAATAGAAATAATGAATTATTTAATTCATTTGAATCCATTACATTAATTTTATGTCAACCAATTACATTTAAACAATTATGGATTGGTTATATAGTATTACCGGATATATTAAATCATTTAAATAAAATTAATACATCATTAATAAATTCTGATCTTATTCAATATTATATTAAACAAATTCATAAAAATTTTAATGATCCATTGTTTCATACACATTGTATTGTGATAAAATTAAATAAAAATATTTATAATCCATTACAAATGAAACAGAAACAATTCAAATCTTATTCAATAATAAAATCAATTTTTCATAAATTTTTTAATAAATTTTCTAAAAATAAAAAAAATTTATATAAAAAACAATTTACTAGTGATAATAATATATTAATTTATAATAAACAAAATTTTGAATATTGTATATGTAAAATTGAATCAATGGAATCAGGAATTAATCATAAAATTCATCAACAATCTATGAAATTTTTTTCAGAATTAGATAAATTAATTAGTAATTCAATAGTAAGTATAAATTATTTAATAATAATAAATAATAATAATAATAATTATTATTATTATTTGAAATGAATGGTTAAGCGGTTGCGTGTGAGATTGATAAGTCCTGGATTCGAATATCGCAAGAGAGGAGGGGCGGCTGGATCGTGGATGTGCACTGTTGAGGAGTTCTATACTAGGATAAAATGGTCGTCTAATACTTTCAGGTTTACCACGGTGGTTTATCTTCAATTGATTTATGATTTCAGTTAGTGAAATTTAATAATTAGTCAAATTGTAATTGTATTATCGGTTAAGTTTTTTTATTTTTTGAACTCATAAGTTGATCTAAGTTAGACCTTTATTGGAAATCTGGAAGCATTGAACGGCTATTTCGTTCTAGTATGAGATTACTCAGTGGTGCACATTCACAATCCTGCATACGCAACTTGAAACCAGGACCTTCGTTTTCGCTTCTGAACGCTTAACATTTAGATCACTGAACAGGTATCCAGCAATGGGAATGTCTAATTTTATTTGATCTAAGATCTTGCGCAACCATTCAACCATTGTTTGAGGTAGATATCTGTCTATACCAAATACAGATTAGGCTCCACTAGTCAAAAAGAGAACTTATCGCTGAATAAATCATTATTTTGTTTTTATCTGTCAATTGATGTATTACATTGACTAGGTCTTTTGAATTTCTGTAGAATGCTTAATTCAAAGTTAAGCTTTATTTAATAGTTGGGATCATGAGTCAATTGATGGTAAACCACTATGGAAAACCTGGAAACACTGGACGATCGTTTCGTTATAGTATGGAACTCCTTGGCAGTGCACTGAGTTTCGCGGATTAGTTGAAGTTAGACATTAACACCGTTGGACGTCAGCTCAGTGGTCTACAGATTAAGCGTTCGAGTGCGAGACCGATAAATTCTGAGTTCGAATCTCGCAAGGCGGGCTCGTGGATGCGCACTCCTGAAGATTCCCTTACTATGAACAAATAGTCGTCCAGTGCTTCCAGGTTTTCTATGGTGGTTTAGCTTTAATTGACTTATGATCTCAACTATTGAAATTACTATATTATCCACAAAAATCTCTGCTGATATATTAAGCTTTATTATGTGAAGATTCAACGTCTGTCATTACCTCTAGCTTTTTGAATACAATGACAGCATGAATACATAACCTCATTCTAAATCAAAGAATGTTAACGTATGACCAATTATTCTGGATAAAATAATCTACATTTATACAATGAAATCTGAAAGTTATGATTCAGGTTTTATGCGAGTTCATAATTATTCTGTGTTAAGGATTTAAACAAATCAATTTTTCAATGATTTGATTGTTTTCTTTGTTTCAATATTTCACTAATTGATATCGGTTATTAATGAAAACTAATTTCAATATTCAGATTGTTGTAATAACGAAAAATAATGTTAATCTAACATACACTTTTTGAAAATTAAAATATAAAGATTTTTGAAAATGATAATTGAATGTTGAAATATCGTCTATTTCTCATTCTTCATAATCTTTTAACTAAGTTACCCTAGTTACTATTATTTTTTTAGTTTTTTTTCTTTAAAATATTCCGTTTGGATTAACTATTGGTGTGATAGTAAATTAAATCCAAATTTTATTAACGTTAATGGTTTATCACCAATGTTCAATATAATGATGATTAAGTAATTAATGCTTGAGTCATTTTAATTATAATTTATTGTATTAAATTTAACTGGGCCGTGTTTATGATGATGATGATAGATTTGTATAGTAAATATGACTGCAACGATCAAAAAATTGTCTGTATCATCTTAGGAGGTTTTGCTGAGATGTTTTAAGGAAAAATGTAATTGAAATCACACAATTCAAATTTAACATGCTGATATATATATATATATATATATATATATATATATATATATATATTCTTATAAATAAACTTATGAAACATTTAAATAAAGCTTCATTAGAAGTTTCCATTCAAATGGTCAAATAAAAATGAAATTTGTAACTACTTTGTAATTAATCACCGTAAATATTTCAATCTGACGTTAAATCAATTGATATCACATTAATTCAGTAATATGATCTTTTGATGTAATATTATGAGGCCAGAGTTCGAATTCTATCATGCACTAATTGAAAGAAGATTTAAATCAAGCAGGGGTTCCTCCCGATTCCCTAAATAATCTAAAATCATTAACGAATAGTAACTACTTCAAAATGAATACATGTTATTGATATGTCTTAAAACTTACTTTTAATTAAAATATATAATAAGAAAAAATTTAATATCAGACTTATTAATTATACGTTCATCATTGGATTTAGAGACCAGATCGACAATCTCAACAAATATTTCAATGTCATTAAACCACAGTTTTTGTTGTCATCTGCTAACTGATTCAGTTAATGATCACACGCTTGATTAACCTACTCTACGAAGAACAAAGACTACGAATTCACAGAAAACTTTGTTATCTAAAGCCAGATACTGGTGTATACTACTCATCCACATGTATAAGTGAATGGAAGTATGTGAGCAGGGATCTTTGAGTGTCAACTATGGTCATGTGAAGCATTTACTTACTCACTGTAACACTGCCACACGAGCTTACATGTCGCACTTACAGTGTAGTATTTCGATAGCTTAGAATCCGTTTGCGTTTGTCTAGTATTTAAACTTGTTGACTGAGAGAATTTCTAAGATATTTAGACCCTATATAACGTTTTCGGTAACCAAATTGTTTTAAAGTAGTATTACATAAAAGGCATTTGATAAATGTCTTATCCCTACTTTGAAATTCAGTGTTATATGTAAATCTCCAAAACATCTTCTTGGAAATGGATTTTCGTATCAACATGATCTGTTAATACTTAAAAAAAATACACCTGTAAGTAAGAAAACGCCATATAAAGGTATTCTTATGTAGGTCAAATGCTTATATTATTTAGGTAACTATATCCTTAAAATTTGGCAGATCACTACTGGTAAATTAAAAGTTAACGCGATCTAATGTTTCCCATCTTAATTGCTATACGTGTATTTTGTTTTACAGCATAAAAATTACATGTACAAATTAATTACCGTTCTAGAATTGTTTTTTTTTTCAGTAAAAAGCATTATCATATAGAAGCAATAACGTGAGTACCCTTAGGGTTCGTTTTAAATGACAAATACTTTGGACCCGTTTATCATCTTTGTTCATATATAAGCAAAATACATTCATGCGGTGTTTCACGCCATTGCTATAATATTACAGATAAAGCAACACTCCGAGAAGATGGATGAAGATATATGACGTAGTTATGCTACTGGATCGAATAACCACGCACACACACATGCACCTTGGTAATACATAAAGATGTAAACAAAAGCTTTTGAAAGATAACATTTCGACTGAGGTTGAGTTCCGTCAACTAAGCTATTAAGTTTCTCATTAGTTTAGGTCGGAGTCAAAGCATAAATAACACGCCAGAAAAAAGAACTGTTAAACATTTTGTGCATTGTATTTGTGCATTATATTTGGCCTTTTATTATCTACAGACAAACAATGAGATAAACAATACAAAATAGAAGGTTTAAAAACAAAAATCAATATATGTCGGGGATAGTTTTGCTGTAGAATGGTAAACGATAAAATAAATATACAAGAATTGAGTCTGTAAACTGTTAGGTTTGAAGCAGTTACAAGTTCTCTTAGTATGCGAACGGAACAAAGACTTGTGACCGAAGAACAATAAGCTAAATATTCTGATGAGTCCTAACCCCGCTAACTAGAGGAAGAAGTCCAAACTTGGAATGGGGAAGTATATTCTGCAACCAGCCAGAAACGAGCGATGACAACAAACATAAATCAAAACGTATATATACAGAACAAAACCGTCCATTGGGAGAGTCACCAAATAGCATACTAAAAGACGCAACGGACCAATGGAATTTAAGATATTTCCCAAGTAAGAAATACGACATGAAGGTGACAAGAGTGCTTTTGGTGCGAAAACGGAGAAATTCAAATTTTCTAAATAAAATTACAAAATTAGGTCCTTTTCCAAGTGAGTTCTGGGGATCTAACATCCCCAACAAAAACATTAGCATTAGTGTTGATTCATGATACCTATTGTCTTAAACCAGTGATTTCCAACATACATAGGAAGTATAACAATATCGTCGGTCGATACCATGATCTCTTTTTCTCAATAGTGGATATTTACCGAACTTTTTCAATCATTATAACGAATCACTTTGCAATACATACGATACAGACAACTTACTTTCTACAAGTTCACAATGTTATCAATTTATTCTCACCTCCTTTTGCAGTAATATATATCTTGGAAATATACCATACCATAAAATACCATCTTATGCCATGAATTTGTCTTATATATTTCATATAAACTGTTTACTGATTAATTCAGTATTATTTTTCTTTTAAAAACTTAATTTATAGGTATTCCATTTTCAACCGGAATCAGAGAAACAGATAGCAATCGAAAGGCAAAGACATAAATACAAACTGGAACTATTAACATTACAGTCTGATACGAATTCATCAGAATGTCTTAGAAATCAAATATCTTTTCCCTGTTTATTTCGACATATTTATTCACTTAGTAGAGATGATTTACAAACAATGAGAACAATCTATGGATTTGAAGTTTAATTATATAAATACTTATATCATTACACTGTGTATACTTTGATGTAGATTTTCATTGAATGGTTATTGTATTTAAAAGAAAACACTAGGTTACTAGTTTTCTCTAAAATGAAAATTAACATTATATTACTGTAGTCAAACATAAGAGTTCAAAAATTAATATAGGTATTTTAATGAATCGTCTTGCTGTTATTGCAAATTTAAAGTTGTCTGGAAAGCTTAGAACTGTGCTGAAAATAAGATACAGTAATCAGTAAAATATAAAGTTTAAGATACTTTATTCATTTTGAGTGAAATTAAATACGATTGGATTGAAATTCTGAATGAACTTCAATATATTGTCAATCATTATATTCTTTCTATTTAACAGGTTTTAACTTCTTGGGTAACGTCTGTGTGGTCATACAATGATTTGGTGGTAGTTGATATAATTTAAACTTCATGGGTCATTCATTCATTCATTTTAACACATAAGTATAGGTACAGGGAGGCACCAAGTACATATGCACCACATGAGGAGGGCTGTGATACTGCCCGGTTGCCCAAACCGAAGCAGGTGGTTTTCTTAGGGAGCCACACCCCGAGCCCTCGACCTGAACGTCTGACCCACAAGGCAGTGGAGCATCGTGAGGAGATGCAGTCCCATGGCAGCCGGTGACCAACGATTGGTTCATACGCCATTTGTTCCTTCAGGATACTAGAGCCCATGTGCACCATTGGTTTGGGGTCCGGTTAAAGCGCCGGACATTCGCTTTTCGTCCTCTCATTTTTGTAAACAACAGCCCCGCTACGAGAAGGCAGTGAGTAGGACTTCCCTGGCAGAGGCTATATACGCGTGGCCATGTGAGAGCATTTCGAGAGGGAAAGCGGACTCTCTGCACTCTCGGCCGTACTAGGGCATTTGGGGGCAATTTAAACTTCATGGGTAGAGCTCGTGAGAGAACCATTTCTTTATTTTTCAAAATATAAATTAAGCAATACGAAATCCTAAACTATATAGCTGCCCAACGGTTTGAAAAGAATAGTATCTATGAAGTATAGCTCAGTTGTGAGAACAACCAGAATACATTTCATTCATTAAAATGTCTCTAACGGTTATATTTAGAATTCAGTAGAAAACCATAGAAGAATGCTCAGTGCTTTCTTTTTAGAACACATCTAACGAAGTCTACATTCTTTGAGTAGTATTACCTTTGTAAATTCACTCAGATGTTCTTGATAAACCAACAAGTCCCAGTCTTTCACTCCATAGTAAAATGAACGTCTCTCCATTTGCTTTATTCACACTTAGTTATAATAAGTAATTGGAGAAGAAGATATTCGTAAGACATTTTCCTATCACTGAAGTGGGTATTCTAACACAATAATTTTAATAGAGTGATCATCACAATCCCTAGACACAAACTCTGAGAGTGATTCACATGGTATTGTTCCGGAATCTAAATATTTCTTTGTGGATAACTGTGATTGACCAATTAAGCGCCGAGTATTCTAAGCTCATTGGCTTCAGGTTTAACAGGTTTGGAGCAGAGCTACTCTAACTAGAGCCTTCAAACAAACGGACTAAATACTATATCGACAATGTAAATTATTAGTTGAAGAATTATGATACAATGATATTATGTGGTGTTTGAATGAACTAAGGATTGCTTTGTACTTGTTGAATGTTTGATTTCGAATTCTAAATACAGTACATTCGTTAATGTTTGTGTAGTACTTCTTGATTCAATTGCGTTATCTCTGGGATTCTTAGTTCATACTATAATTCAATTACTTCTAATTATCATATTGGCGTTGCGATGGGGTTTGCGATGGAACAGTTAGATATTCATTCAACTTCTGAAGATTTTGAGAACTATTTGGAAAGGTTTGAAATCTGAAGCATGACCAAGAAAGATGATGAGGATATTAATATTGTGGCACATTTTCTCACATTCATTGGAAAAGAAGCATATGGCTTATTAAAAATTTTGGCTTCACCGGAAAAGCCCATTTCTCTTCCTTATACAACTCTCAAGGAACTACTTCTAGACTATGCAAAGTATACAAATTTCGAATCCGATAAAGGGAGATTTCGTAAAATAATTTATGAGGATATAAAAAATTCCACTATATTACGTCACCCCATCCCAGTGCATACTCAAGGTTGTGCAGTTCACGAAGATGGGCACAAGTTTAGTCAATGTTTTTCTTGTGGCAAGTTCCACCCTTTTAATTCATGTAAATTTCGTAATTGTAAGTGCTTAAATTTGGTGATGTCGGACATATTCAGTCAGTTTGTAATACTACTGTTCATCTTGCTGAAACTAATATTAAGTCTTGTGATTCTGATTCTATTAATTTAAATATTTATAATGATCATTTATCTTTATCGACGATTTCAAAAGACAGTTTAGATTCATATAGCAGTTCAGAGTTAAATGAAACTCAGGATTCTTGCGAGACAACAAATTCTAATGAATCAACCTATCAGATTTCCCATGTTATTGTACCAGATATGATTTTTCCTAATGATTCACATATTTCTGATGAAATTTCTTACACATCTGATGAGAATATTTCGGATGAACCTAATCATGATCGAAAATCTGATGTAGTTTTGATTGATGCTGATTTTTCTAATGATCCTTTACTCTGCAATGACATTCTTAATAAATTTGAGGAAACCATTTCAGAAGAATCGAATCTTGATGTCATATCAAATATTATTTGTCCTCATGATGCATTTGTTTCTTGTGAGAAACTTGTTTAATGCGAAGCACGAGTATTAAATGAGTTAGAGTTTGATTACAATTCAGATAATTCCATATCAACTGTTGTTTGTCCTTATCATAAATTCACTTCCAGTGTTTAGTCAAATTGAGAAAGATGTTTTAAATGAAGCCACATTATTCATAACTTGGGGATATGAAGATCCGACATTATTTCGTGGGGGAGGATAGTCTATGGTTCATATCCTAGGTAGTAGTTCCAGTATTCAACCGGCATGATGATTGTTCACAATCCCAGAAATCAAGTGAATAATACAGAGTCTTCATCCAATACACTGTTGGACAGACACAGGATGAACTTAGGAAGAAGACGTGCAATCAATTACAGACACCTGGACTCTAATTTAAGCTGTGGCGGATGTGGTGTTTGAATGAACTAAGGATTGCTTTGTACTTGTTGAATGTTTGATTTCGAATTCTAAATACAGTACATTCGTTAATGTTTGTGTAGTACTTCTTGATTCAATTGCGTTATCTCTGGGATTCTTAGTTCATACTATAATTCAATTACTTCTAATTATCATACATTATGTGGGAAAATTATATTTTAAATAATCTCAGCCACTGAAATTTAAATAATTCCAACGTTTCGTCCAGCTTACTTGTCTGGACTTCTTCAGGGTAATATTACCCTGACTTGGGAAACGCAGAATACCTAAGCACGGCTTACTGGGAACTTTGCATGAATATTGCTATAATCTGGTTGGTCCAGCTCTTCTGTATGTATGTTTCTATCACAAAGGTATACTATTTATGGTAGGAGTGTTAAAGAGAGTATGTACAAAAGAATATGTTCAAAATATAATAGAAGTGAGCTGACAGCTCAGTTTAAGATACGGTATATTTAAGCTTATCAACAAAAGCAGCTAGTAAAAATAAGCGGTAGAACAAGATTAGAATTAAAACTAGATGATAATCAGGGATGATAAATTAGTAGATTAGAATCTTAGATGAATTAAACTACAATGATGATGAATTTACCAAGATCTCAACATTAAGTATATCTTCCATTGGTGAACTGGCAAAACGTACGGTGAAATCAGTGAAATAACTATGTACTGTGACGAAATTATCTATCAAGCTAAATGCAACGGGGTTAGTTTATTGGTACAACTGAAATTTGGTTGGCCTCATTAAGTTCTGATTGATCAACACCTATTGATTCGTTATAGCTGACCAATATTAGACTATTGACTCAAAGAGACGACAAAAGTACATCAAATTCATAAACAATTGATGTTTCAGACTTGTTTGGATGTTTTGATGACAATGTTCATATGTCTGATTGTCGAATATTTATTTTGAGTTACCTGTCAACTGTTGTTAATCGATGATCGCACGGTGTCAAATTCTGTCTTTCTCTCTGTCCCAACAACTTCTAGCTCGCATTTGATAGTCTTCTGAAACATGAGTAGTTCTCTAAACATCCCAATTATTTGATCGTAATTGACATTATCTTTATAAATAAATCAATATATTTGTAATATCTCAATGAGTAGAAAAATTAAATCATCTGACATTTCGTGTAAGCGAATTCTTCAGAGAATAAGTAAAATTTGGATATAATACCGATTTATTTTCTGACATCTAAATATAAACTACTTATGATAAGATTCCATCTGTTATCTAGGTGCATTAAAGAAGAACAATAAGCTGGTCATCAGGTTATAGTGGATTGGTGTGGTGTTTGAATGAACTGATGATTCCTTTGTACTTGTTGAATGCTTGATTTCGAATTTCAAATACAGTACATTCTTTAGTGCTTGTGTAGTACTTCTTGATTCAATTGCCTTATTTCTGGGATTCTTAGTTAGTACTATAATTCAAATGCTCCTAATTATCTTTATTAGGTAGGTGAGTCTTAAAATGATTTGGTTTTAATTCAAGACTATGCAAATTATGCGATGATAAAGAACACTAAAAGTCTGTACAGAATTTCTATCCCCTTGTTCTTTCTTTCTGATTTGTATTTTAACTTTCGTCCTGGACTCCTGTGAACATTGTTTCACATTTCGTAATCTTTGATTCAGCCTTGAGCATTTGACTTTGGTTACCTTTGCCATTTAGTTTTGTTGCTACTTGGTCTACGGGATCCGTCATTAAGGTCCAGTTTAGCCAAGTTTAAGGTTACGGTGTGGGATAGTAGATCATCGTTATTCATTGATTGACTACCAAAAACGATTATTTGACTCCATGCAACCACATTTGGGTCCTAATTTATTGAGAATATTC